CCAGTGTTCTTAACTGCTGAGCCATCTCTCCAGCCTCTTGATGTGTTTTTTATGCTTGCTATCACTTGAAAGTATTTGCATTTGAATTAGTCAGCTTGGTGGCCAAGAGAGATTTCACATTCTGGAAATATCTGGAAAGCAGCAACACCCTAGGAATGCAACAGGGCCGAGATTCTGTAAGGAATGCAGAGTAGCTGATGTTTGTGCCGGTGAGGGGGCAGAAAAGGAAAGAAGTTCATGGCTTGTAAGAACAAAACGGAAGTAAAAAATCTAGTAAAGGTTAGGTTGAGACAGGGAACCGATTTTATACAAATTTTTCAGAATTGATAAGGTTTTGAAGTAATATCTTAATAACAAATTGACGTTCTTTCAAAGATATTTTTACACTATTTATTTATTTATTATTTATTTGTTGTGTGTGTGTACATGCGCGCCAAGGCAAGATTGTGGAGGTCAGGGGACAACTTGCAGGAGTAGGTCCTCTCCTTCCCCCAAGTGGGTTCTAGGGATTGAACTCAGGTCATTTGGCTTGACAGCAAGTCCCTTTGCTCACTAAGCCAGCTTGCTGGGTCCAGATTGGCATCTTTATTGGACATATGTTTAGTTAGTCAAGGAGAAGAGATTTGGAATGCTCATGATTAGACCTCACTTAGGACTGAAGCTTTCATCTGTAAATGAATAAACACTGAGCTTAATGAATCTTAAATGGCTGAAGGAGAAAATCCATCTAAGGTATGAATTGAGCTGTTTTTGCATTATGACTATGTTGAGTGGATTGCGTTTCTCACACCCATTAGACGCAGCACAGCGTCACAGTTGAGGACTCAGACCCTGGTGCTGTACTGCCTGGGGTCTGGCCCAACTCTGCTAGGTACTGTATAAGTTTGAGTGGATTCCACTCTTTTGCTTCAGAGTCCTGTGTGTAATACATCAGTGATGGTAATGTGAGTGCCTGCTCTGTGGTGTGTGTGGAAACCAAACAAATTGGTAAACACTGACCACAGCAAGCCTTTCATAAACAAGCTTCTCAGTGATGAGTAAGGGCTGGCAAATTTCTTCCTCCCTCATTCAAGGATCTCAGCTCTTGCTTCTGCCTCATGCAGAGGTGCTGGCTGGTACATTACTTTGGATTTCTCCCCATTGACCCCCTTCTTCTCTGTGCTGTCCCCACTTTGTCTTAGGACATTCTTAAGGATGTTGTTACCTACAATACCTTATTAATTAATTAAGAAGTTTAATTCAGAAGTTTTCTAAGTACTCACATCTTAATTAGAAAGACCAGCCTGAAGATACTAGAATCCTTTCATCTGCAGTTACGTACTGGAAAGAATGGTTTTACTTTTCATACAGTGTTGGAACTGCAAGAGACTTCAAGACTATCTAGTTGTGCTGACATTATAGATGAAGAAACAGAGGTCCTAAGAAGTGACACAAGGGACACAGTCACAGGGCCAGGTCAGCAATTGGATTAGGACTGGTAGATATTTCTTGGTCTCGTTCCCCTCCTTTTATACCTTGCCAGCCTCATGCTCTCTAAACCAGTTGCCAAGGCTAGCTTATGGATAGGTGTGGAAGCCTTGTAGACCAGGCCCATCCTCAGGAGGTTGTATCTGCAGAATGTACTCATGCTGAGGGTTGGCTGTCTGTGTTTCTTTCCTGGAAAAGTCTTTGAGAGACTTTGGGGGATAACTATAGACTAAAAGGATAAAAATATTGCTGGCGCTGGATTCATTTAATCATTTTTTTGTACTATGACAAAGTACTTTGTAGGGCACAGATTAGTATTCAGTCAAAAGAAATGGAGCTCCAGGGTGGGTTCTGTGTGCACAGAAAACAGAAGAAAATTGAGATTCAAGTACTTATTAGTAACTGACCCTAAATGGTTATCCTTTTGATTCTTTTGTTATTTTTCTTTTAGGTCTGGGTCCTTTTAATTTTTAGGTAAAATATATAGTGAGGTCCCGATTGAACTCTACAAGAAAAAAAATTGGAAAGAATTGGGATTTTATATTAATTTTGTTATAAAATAAACTACAGAAGGAAGCAGAGTTTACTTTTCCGCTTGTTTTTTACTTTCTTTTTAAGCTTACAATGATGAACACGTATTCACATTAATGTACACACACGTGCTTTTTGCCCTCTCAGGCATTAATCTTCCACTGTCATAATTTGCACACATAGGAAATGTAAATGTGCTTTGTTATTAAACATTTAAGCTCAGTCTGATGTTCTATGCATATACACCATCCTTTAAAAAATCTTTTGCTGTATGTTAACTCAGAATTTTAATTCATCCATTTAATTTGCTTATTTCTTTGAGAGTCTTATAAAATTTCAAAATGCATTATGTAAATCCTTTTTATCTAAACCCGGCTTCAAGTCCTTGTCCCTGTCTCACACCTGAGCTTTGAGGGTGGCCTCAGGCTTGTATTATTATGATTACAGTTTGGGCCTGTTGGGGGAATGCTGTCACAGCTAGTGATGGTGGAGAAACAGGATAGACACGGATGCTAGATCAGGGTATTAGGGACTCTGGATTGAGACCTGGTTCTCTTTTTCTGACTAAGTTTCTCCTTTTCCTGGCAAAGATGAGATTGGACTCATTTTTGAAATAAAAGAGTGAGACACAGAGAGTTGGGATCTTGTATCAGGAGTATTGTGAAGTAAACATACTGAGAGGGCATAGGGTAAGATAAAACCTAGGTTTGTTATATATATGAAGTTTCATCCAAAGAGGTCCTTGAGCAAAGAGTTACAGAGTGTTAACACTGGGCTAATCCTGCTGCATGCTGTCTCTGGGCCCTGTAAATGAGGAAGTCCAGCCTTATGTGTGTGAACAGATTTGTGTTAGCGTGGCTGCATGATTGAGAAGAGAGCAGGCAACGAATAAAGGGGATAATAAATAAAATCATATAGAAATATTTTGTTTCTAGTGTTTATTAATGGAGACGTGAATTAGGGTCTTGTAGCGTAGCAAAGCAGATAGCAACGTAGGCTTTCCTCTTTATAGTTTGGACTAGATTAAGAGTGTTTGAATTAAAGGAACGTTTACAATAGTTTGCTTTGCTCTGATCTTGCAGTGGAAGGATCACTGGTGTTCTGAGTTTTGGGGCTATCAGGAGCCCATCAGAACCTGTGGATGGCAGGATGTCCTCAAAAGAACCTTGTTTTTGTTTCCATGTTGCTGATAGTGTCCTTGTGATTATTCAACGAGGGAACTGTTTTTGTTTTGTTTTGATGAAAGCTTTTCTTTGACCTTCTGCACATGGGTGAAGCAGACCTTCGAGGAGGCTGATAAGAACGGAGATGGCTTACTGAATATTGAAGAGATACACCAGCTGATGCACAAACTAAATGTCAATCTGCCTCGAAGAAAAGTCAGGCAGATGTTTCAGGTACGTTTTCACAATCGAGTTGGACTTGTGTGAAACACAGATTACTACTGATGAGCTTAGGGACATTGATGGTCTTTTAATTCTTTGAGAGCTAGTAGTATTTGCTCTGTACTGTTTTATTTATCTTTGATAAAGACAGCCATGGTGCCTCATCCAAGGAAAAAAAGTCAAAAACTTAGCATTTACAATTTCCTTTCCTCAAAAACTTTTTTTGTTGTTGCTGTTTTCAGAGAGCAATTAATTATAAGCCCTTAATCATAATAAGGCGTGAACTTGATCAAGTCCTTTCTTGAGGATTAAAATACCTCATCTGCCTGCCTCAGAGGGCTGTTGTGAGGGTTAGAATGAAAACCAAGTGACAGGGAACAATAGCACTTGTCTGAGGCCTCCGGAGCACTCCCTTTGGTTTCTGAAGTTTAAGATGTAAAATCCATGAGGCTTGGACATGCTAATCTCTCCTATGGTTTACTGACCTGTGCAGATGCTAGAAGGGGTGGCACTTGCCCTTAATCCCAGCACTCGGGAGGCAGAGGCAGATGGATCTCTGTGAGTTCAAGGCCAGCCTGGTCACCATAGCAAGCTCTAGGCTAGGCTAGCTGGGGTTAGAGAGACCAATCTTGAATAAAAAAACGAAAGGCAATATGATGTTTCATGTTTGGCCCTTCTTTTGTTTCAAACACTTGTTCTTACATGGGCAAGGACAGAAACACCAGGGGCTGTGAGTGACCGTAGCAAATGGTGGACAGAGAACAGAAGCCGGCTTCCTCCTTTGTCCCCTTAAGGCGGTCGTGTTTGGAGGGTACTCCTGGATGGAGATGGTTTGCATTTGGGGAATTTGGCTCTGTTGCACTGGAGATGGTGAGAGGAAGGAAAGAGGAGGAGGGAGTGGGATGCAGGGTAAACTAGAAAATGCCCATGTCCATGTCTTAGGGGCACAAAGCCAATTCTTTTAAAAAATATTTTATTTATTATATTTTTATTTTATGTGTATGAGTGTATTTCCTACGTGTATGTAAGTTTACCATGTCATGCAGTTGCCTGTGGCGGTCAGAAGAGGGTGCCAGATTTTCTGAAACTGGAGTTGCAGGTGGTTGTTAGCCACTGTGTAGGTGCTGGTGATCAAACCTGGGTTCTCTGCAAGAGCAGTCAGTGCTCTTAACTGTGGAGCCATCTCTCCAGCCCCATCAAAGCCAATACTTTAGACAAAAGTTTATTTATTTACTTTTTTTAGTTAGCATGCAAAATAACAGGTTTCACTGTGGCGTTTTCATGCTCTCTGTTTTGGCTGATTCTCCTTCCCCCTTATACACTTGCACCCTTCTGTCCCCAGTAGGCTCCTTTCTACTGGCATGTTGCATATGGATTCTACTGCATATATTTGGAGACAAAGTTTTGCTCCGTGGCCCAGGCTGGCTGGGAATTTATGGAGATCCTTCTGCCTCAGCCTCTTGAGTTCTGGGATTATAAGCGTGTCTCTGCTTTGCCTGGCTAAACACTTTTTTTTTTTCTTTTTATGATCTTAGACTTTGCATGAAAGCAGAAGTCAAGCATAGAATTATGTTTCCCATACTTGCTCCATGTGAAACGTTTCCATTTGGGGTCTGGCATCTGGCAGGGATCTGCAAAGACAGACTCTTTGGGAGTGAGAGGCTCAAGGATTTCAGTATAGGTTGCGTGGCCTCATCTGAAATACTTGATTCCAGAAGTGTTTTGAATTCAAGACTCCTCCAACCCCCCCAGATTTTGGAGTATTTAATATATGTAGTGAGATGGGATTCAAGTTTAAACATTAAATATTCATGTTTTATACCCACCTAATGCATAGAGCCTGAGGCTGATTTTAGTATTTTTAGGGAAGCTGCATTAAAATTATTTATTTATTTATT